CGACGAAATTGACTATCTCCAGAGGGAAGTCCTGTCGGCTGTGCAATGCATAGTCGAAGAACAGGAAAAAGCTAAGGAGATAATTTAAAAAAAACCTGCGCAAACAAGGTCTCTGACCCTAAAACCGTAGTTCAGACCACAATGAAGGCTATCCTGGGCAACAATGTTGACGTCAGAGCGCTGACTGAGACAATGTTGATCGAGGTAAAAGACATCGATGAGACCACCGACAAAAAGGACATCCTATGTGCGGTTCAATCACAGTTCGACGTGGAACTGCCAGAATCCGAGGTGGTAAATCTAAGGGTGGCATACGGAGGCACCCAAACCGCCACACTAAGAGTTATGCCCGACATAGGGAGACGACTCTTGGAGAAGGGCAAAATTAGGCTGGGATGGACCTGGTGTAGAGTCCGCCCAAAGCTAACACCTAAAAGGTGTTTTAAATGTATGGAACTTAACCATATAGCAGGGAATTGCAGGGTCCAGGAGGACTGCTCAAAATGCTGCTACAACTGTGGCGCAAAGGAGCACCAAGCCAGAGGCTGCAAAGCAAAGGCCTGCTGGGACTCGCCTTGGCAGCGCACAAGACTGAAGCAGTCCTGATAAGTAGCAGCCAGAAAGTGGAGGCGGCTACTATCAAAATTGGAGAAGCCACAATTACATCGCGTCCAAGCCTAAAATACTTGGGCGTCATGATCGACCACCGGCTTTACTTCAAAGAACATCTAGCGTACGCTAGTGGCAAGGCAAGTAGGACCGCGGCCGCGATTTCGCGAATTATGGCAAATACTCGGGGACCAAGGCAACCAGGACGTAGATTACTGGTTAGTGTTGTCACATCGACGCTGATGTACGCTGCTCCCATATGGGCTCGAGCCACAAAAAATTGAAGTTATATACAAGACGACGACTGCGTGCAGAGATTGTGAGCCCTGCGGGTATGCTGTGCGTTCCGCACTGTATCCCATGACGCGGCGCTGGTAATATCGGGAGGCATACCGATTGATCTGCTGGCATTGGAATCAGCTAACATCCGCGCAGGCAGCACAGGGGTCGCAACTGAAGAATCACTACGGAAAAGGTGCAGATAACTCACCATTGCTAAGTGGCAGGAGAGGTGGGGAAAAAATATCAAAGGACGATGGACGTACAAGCTTATCCCAGAACTGCAGAGATGGCTGGGACGGAAGCATGGACATGTGGACTTTTACTTAACGCAACTGTTGGGTGCTTTAAATACTACCTGAATAGGTTTAAGCATGAATGTTATACGCACTGCCCACTCTGCGAGTCGGATAATGAAGACGCAGAACCAAAGTCAGCCTTCTTGTAGGTTTTAAATTGATGAGAAGTCGGTTCTATATTCATCGGATTTTTATCTTTTGTTGGCTCATAAGCAGCGTTCGGTCCTGCAAAATCACCTCTGCCTTCTACCAGAATAGGGTTGATTTCCGTATCAGATGAGGTTTCTTTATTGAGATAACCTGTGATTACATAACCAAGCCTAGTGCCTTGTGCCAAAGGTTTATTAGGTCCTAGTTCAAGAAGTTCACCGGTTATTACACGAGAATACACCTCCGACCCTAAGGTAAGGTCAATGGGTCCAGGTTGCCGAAAGTCAGGATCTGCTAATGGCAGTCCCCCGGGAATATTAAGATCGTTATCAATCGATACTGACGGTTGGTCTGGAATGACTGTGGGAATAATAAATACCTCTATTAGTCTTTCAAACCCTGATGTAACTGATGAGAGCTTTAGTGTTGATCTAATTGCTGTTGATATTTTTCCTCCGATTCCAGATATTTCAATCGGTGACCTTTCCTTAAGAGATAGCAGATCTGCCATTCTCCTTGAGATAAGATTCACCTGTGATCCACCATCTATTACAGCGCGACATGTTTGTAATTGACCGTTTGGCCCTTGTAATGAGACCTTGGCGGTCGCGAGCAGAGTATATCCTCCTACGTCGTCGTAGCCTGCAATGGTTACTGCGCCGGCCACTGGATTGCTACTCGGTCCTTGGTGTAACAGTGAATGATGCCGTTGCTGGCAGACTCGATAAGTGGTCGGTGATCCACAGTTTTCAACCTTATGAGCTGTAGACAAACAATTTGTGCATGCTCCTACTTGAATAATGGCTTGGCGCCGTGCTTTGGGGTCCATTTGCTGGATCCGGCTACATGCTCTAAGATTATGTTGTCCTAGGTGACAAATCTTACAGCTCTCTTCGTTGTGAACTGACTGATGGCGGAGTGTTGCTGTAGGTTGAGCGCTTATCGTCTCCAGCATGCAAGCGCGCCGCTCAATAAACGTCAGTACACTCCATAACGTTGGAATTTCCGTTGGTGCATCCGCTGAATTTTCTAGAGCAGTTAGAGACTGCTGGTCTAGTTTTCTTCTGATAAGAAAACACAGGATTGGATCCCAGGATTTTGTGCTGATATCGAGGTTTTGAAGAGTACTCATTGAGTTTTTTATAGTGTCATGTAAGGCCCTTAGTTGGCGCGAGGAACCGTCTATAGGCGTGTGGTCAATAATTTTTGCTATGGCGGCGAATACTAGAATTTTGCCGTTCTGGTACCTGGCCTTCAACTGCAACCAGGTGTCGTCATAGCCACCCTGTGAGAAGGCTGTGTCTGTCAAGACGTTCCTCGCTTCACCAAGAAGCGAACTCTGTAGAATATGTAGTTTTTGACTGGCCGAATATGGTTTGTTATGTACCAATTCCACAAAGAGATCATGGAACCGTGGCCAGTCTAGATACTCGCCGTTGAACTCCGGAATGCTAATTGGCGGAAGTGCCAAGTTTAGGCTCATTGGCACGTCGTTTTCTCGTAGCAGGTTTATTTCGTATTCCTCGTATAATGTGTGGAATTGGGCTAGCTCTGCTTCTGCCAGAGCTGCGGCCCCAGGTGTGCTATCCAATTCGTCGTGGGCTTGCCTCAGTAACTCCCAATGGAGATCCAGGTGCCTTTGTAAGGCTGGGGTGACAGTTGGGGCGTTCGAGGCTAATGTTAATGATGACTCCAATTCGTTGCATCTTCTCTGCAACTGTCGGATCACCGTGTCAATTGCGGAATCTCCTTTGACTTAATCTTTTGTTGTGAGCTTGATGTTGGCCGAAGTTCGTCTGGGGGCCTTCGGAAGCCCGCTTCCAGTCGGCATGTTGTCCAGAAAGATATTCTGATATTTTTCGACCAGCTCTTTAAGTGCTACTAGTCGTGAAGAGTACTCACTTCCAGTGGGTAGTGCCGCTTGCTGGACTTTTTCATCTAGGTCGCAAAACTGCCGCCAGAGATCGTTTAACTGATTTAGCTTACCAGAATAATAGCCGTCTCGGTGGCGTCGGTCGGCAGAATCCTTGCCATAATTCTTAATGAGCTGTTGGATTTTCCCTTGCAGCTCGTTTTGTGTGTCTAGTAATCGATTGTGTAAATCGATTCTTGTGTGACTTGTTTCCTCAATGAATGAAGTAGACATATTGTGTGTCTTGGAAACAAAGAATCTTGTGAAGCTGGATGAAGCTGAATATCCTGTGAAGCTGGATGAAGCTGAGTGTCCTGTGAAGCTGGATGAAGCTGAAGTTCCTGTGACGCTGGAAGAAGAAGCGAATCCTGTGAAGCTGGATTAAGCTGAAGTTCCTGTGACGCTGGAAGAAGAAGCGTATCCTGTGAAGCTGGATGAAGCTGAAGTTCCTGTGACGCTGGAAGAAGAAGCGAATCCTGTGAAGCTGGATTAAGCTGAAGTTCCTGTGACGCTGGAAGACGAAGCGTATCCTGTGAAGCTGGATTAAGCTGAAGTTCCTGTGACGCTGGAAGACGAAGCGTATCCTGTGAAGCTGGATTAAGCTGAAGTTCCTGTGACGCTGGAAGAAGAAGCGTATCCTGTGAAGCTGGATTAAGCTGAAGTTCCTGTGACGCTGGAAGAAGAAGCGAATCCTGTGAAGCTGGATTAAGCTGAAGTTCCTGTGACGCTGGAAGAAGAAGCGAATCCTGTGAAGCTGGATTAAGCTGAAGTTCCTGTGACGCTGGAAGAAGAAGCGTGTCCTGTGAAGCTGTATTAAGCTGAAGTTCCTGTGACGCTGGAAGAAGAAGCGAATCCTTTGAAGCTGGATTAAGCTGAAGTTCCTGTGACGCTGGAAGAAGAAGCGTATCCTGTGGAGCTGGATAAAGCTGTGAGTCTTTCAGTGGGAAGGGGGTTGCTTGAGTGCGATCCTTTGTTGTTAAAGGATCACGTCGGGGTCACCAATGTTTGTGCCTAACCGAAGTAGACACTTCCGGGTCACACCGCGGGACAAGGGGGTAATGAGCACTTGTCGCTGGCACGGGGACGCTTTGATGGCAGGACGATAAATCCACAGTCCATAAATCCACAGTCGTGCAAACGTTGTCCAAGGGAGAACCATCCTATCCGTCTGTGTCCCCAGTTCCTACATATCTCGGTTGCCGACCGCAATCAGTGCATTAAACAACAGAAATTCTTTCTGAACTGTTTTGCAAGAACACACATGTTGAAAGACTACACAAGTACGAAAACGTGGCGGACCTCCACAACTCCAGTCAGCATCCGTACCTGAGCTCCAACCAGAAATACAGTCCAGTCCGTCGAGCATACAAACGTACCACGCCGTGAATACGCATGGGGTCCTCCTGAGCACGGCGCTCATAGAGATCTACCACTTGGGATTTAAGTACTCAGCACGTGCCTTGATTGACTCTGGATCCGAGGTGACCTTTATATCAGAACGGTTGTTCACCCTAATTAAGTTACCCTATGAATCCATTCAAGCTCAAGTTTCATGAGTAATTCAAACTGTTGCTGCCCAACCTCGTAAGTGCTGTAAATTCCATATAGGCTACCCCATTAAGCCACAAATCCAAATCGAAGCCTCCGCATATGTGTTACCACATTTAACCAAAAACCTCCCATCCTTTACGAAGGATCCGAAGGTCCCACCATCCAATTAGCAGATCCGAATTTCTCCCAGAGTTCGCAAATTGACGTTCCTCCATCGATTATTTTCGGCGGCTTCCTTTCAAATGTTTGCGGAACACTCCTTGGCCAAGAGACCATAATCGGGTGGATTCTTTGCTAACTAACTGAATATCTTCTTCCTCAGCACGGCTGTCTGTCACCGAATATCAACTAGACGGCATCCTTACCAAGTTCTGGGAGGTGGAGGATGTTCCAATGAAGTCGGGTAAGGAATCCAGCTCGGTGTGTGAAGATAACTTCCAGGCTAAAGAAGGGAGGTATGTTGTTTCTTTGCCCTTTAAAGAACCTAACAGAATAAATCTGAGACATTCAAGGTCCATCGCACTGGCGCAATTCCCTAGGAATGAAGTACGGTTGAGTAAAAGCCCCCCTTGAAAGAGGGCATTATGACTCAGTTATTCAGGAGTATTTAGATTTAGGTCATATGCACCTATCTCTCCAAATGACGAATCCGGCAATTTTTACTTTACACGCCACGCTGTTTTCAAACCAGACAGTACCACCACAAAGGTTCGCGTCAACTTAAAGATATCCTTCATACAGGTCCGGTACTGTAATCTGATTTGACCACCCAGATCCTCAAATGGCGTTTCTTTAAATATGTCTTTAATGCTGACATCTCCAAGATGTATCGGCAGATTCTCGTCCATTCCGGTCATACACGTTTCCAAAGAATCCTGTTCCGCGCTAAATAGCGAAAACTGTGGGATTATGAGCTCGACATTGTCACTTTCGGAGTTAATTGTGCCCCCTTTCTGACCATACGCGTGCTTCAACAACTGGCCCATGCTAAGCTATGATGAAAAACATCCAATCATTATTCCGGCAAGGTGCATTTTTGCGAAACTTTTGGTCCTCTTTACCCATCGCATATCTTTGCACGGGGGTAACCAATTGATGATCCGACTGATTCGCTCCAAGTATTGGATCCCTTAGCCGAGGAATCTTGTATAAGACACCATTCATTCTTGCCGAGTGTGTACCATTTACAAACGGAGGCAGCAAACACACCTAATGGGAGACTTGCCATGTGCAAGATCTCCATTTCAAGGCCATTTACCCACACGGGAAATGATTTTGCGGGACCATTTGATATAAAAAAACAAGGAAGAACGCTATAGTCGAGTACCTCGACTATCAGATACCCGTTACTCAACTAAGGGGACCAAAGGGAAATGGAGATATGCAAGCAGCAAAGCGAGATTAAAATACGCCACCTACTGGCGGTAGACAGATTTAAGCGTTATGGGCTTTGGAGTGGGCGTGTCAAATTTATTTTTGGATCAATCGATAGGTATTGCTAAGACCAATAAATTTCAGTTAAAACTTTTTATCTAGAATAAAAATTGTGGTCGTCACAGGTTTGGGCGGCTTGTGGGCGTTAAAGTGGGCGCGGCAAACTTTGGTTGGGTCAATCGATAGGTATTGATGAGAATTATACATTTCAGTTAAAATTTGTGTTCTAGCATCAAAACTGTAGGAGCCACAGTTTTTGGCGGTTTGTGGGCGTTAGTGTGGGGGTGACACTCTGCTAAAGCAAACTTGCGCTGCGTTAGAAGCACGCCAAATCCCAATAGCCTAGCTCTTATAGTTTCCGAGATCTCAGAGTTCATCCGGACAGACAGACGGACAGACGGACATGGCTAGATCGACTCGGCTAGTGATCAAGAATATATATACTTTATGGGGTCGGAAACCTTTCCTTCTGCCTGTTACAAACTTTCCGACGAATCTAGTATACCCTTTTACTCTACGAGTAACGGGTAGAACTATGTCGGTCGGGGGTGTAAGATAACAAAGGGGTATGCGTTTTTGTGTGTTTTACTACCCGAGCTATCCATCTGGAGGCTAAAACAGACTTGACCACTAGCTTTCTCGCGTTTCTCCGCACTACGTGGCTGTCCGCACCACGTACATTTTGACAACGGGAAAACGTTTGTTGGAGCCTCCACGTCCGTATCCAAGGACTTCATTGAAGCTACAAGGTCTTTGATCCTGTCCAAGTACAGTTTCCAAATTTTGGCCTGGCGCGCCTCATATGGGAGGCCGGTGTCAAAAGCTTTAAGTTCATGTCATCCTGTGTCGGCAGTCCTCCGATCATACGCATCATCCATAATACCTAACCTTTGTTTATTCGCTCCCACAGACTGTTGACGATAGCGCCAACCACAACCCAGCACGCTCAGCTACGCATTACCAACGGGTACAGGTGTCGCGTTTGCCGAGGGGTGCACGCTCTAAGGAAATACCAACGGTTACTCCGGCTCCCGGCTCTGAAGCAGCTCCGCGCTGTCCTAATAAATCAATATTGTGCGAACTCCCTTGCTCACGAGCATTCAGGCCAATCCTGCCGCAGTAATGCCAAGCGACACGTCTATAGCGGAAATCACCACACTTTCTTGCACTTCCAAGAGCCCACATCGTCTCGAGCGTTGTCGCCGACGTCACTTCGCTCATCATCACCGAAGGAGATATCCCCGACCCCAAGCCCTGCTGCGGGCCCATTGTGCGCCGCTATCCTGCAGCGCACGAGTGCGAGCATCTGGCCAACTGCGTCCATTTTGGTGGGGTCTGCTAAGAAGCGGTTTGACCTCCGAGCTTTGGTGAGTCCTTGCTGCCCCGTGAGTCGCATTTACGCATCCTTGGCAAAGGCCCTCAACCTTTACGTCACCCGCGTGGGCGAGGAGGACATCTGCTCAAAGTCGTCGAATATGACCCGGCAACTGCTAATTCTGGTTGATGACCAGATCCAGACCCGACTGCTTTTTCGACATCACTTTGGCTGATGATAGGTGGTTTCACCCTTCCTTAGTGTTGGCTGTTTTGGAAGCTGACATATACGCGGAATTAATTCTGCCGGGTATCCGCCCGAGTCAAAACGGATTGCCCATGCAAAGCTCAGCTCCTTTTGGGCACTTGCTCCCTCTCCTGATACGCCATTCTCCCTATTGCGAGTGGGGGAGAATGTTCATGTCAAACAAGGCAGAGTGCAACATCGCTGTGTTGGAATCATGTCTTTTGCCATCTGGCATCGCTGAAAACTCCTCAGAATAAATTTGCATGTGTAAGCCTTCCCTGGTCACACTCCCTTAGGAACCACGCTAAAAGCGCACCAAGAAAAGAGATCTCAATTTCAACAACCACTCAGTTTTAACAAAGTACAAAATATACATTATAACTTATGCATCCCAGTTCTGTGTTTCACTTAAGTGCTGGACTTACCTTGGTTTGAAGACAAGCCATTATTGGTGATCCCGACGATTCGAACATCTACAATTAAAGCGAACGCACCTCGACTTACTCAAAACCTCAACATAACCGCAAACAATGCCGGATAACGAAGACTTCGTCGGCGCGCAGGAACCACTGCAAATTCCTGAGGCTAGTGCTGTTAACTCGGTATTTGCCAAGATGCCCTTCCCTCAAATACATTCCATCACCAACATTGAAATGTTTTTCACCAAACTGGAAAGCTGGTTTTTGCTGCAATGTCTCGGTGCACGAAAAGAACAGGAGAAATACGCAACAGTAATAGCGATTGCTGATCCCAAATACCTGGATCAAGAGCACGACCTTGTCAATAACCCACCACTAACAAACAAGCAAGCAACTTTGTCTAAATTTGCCGAATCATAGATGGTGCGCTTCGACACACTTGCGACAGGAATTCAACTAGGCGACGGTCGTCCAAGTCATCTACTCAGCCAACTACAGCAAACAAACGCCACCAATGACGAATCGGTTGAACGTCGCTACTGGATCAAGCGCTTACCAACTCCCGCGCGTGCTGTAATCGTAGGTCTGCTAGAAAGCTCTCCCAACACCACCCTCGCCCAGCTTGCAACTTCTGCTTATGCTGTAATTGATTCCCTTAACTACGAAACTTCGGATTACATGTGTGCAGTATCACAGCAAAGCACCCACCAGGCTTCACAGAAGGATCCCATCACACAGCTGGGTAAACGCCTGGATGACAATGACAAGATCCTACAGCAGATCAACAACAAGCTAAGTCACCTCCTTGGCACCACCAATCATCAACGTGGTCGGAGCTACAATCGATCGCCCAGCAATAATAGCCTACGGAGCAACACACCATCCAGGGACAATTCTAACCCTCAATTTTGCTGGTACCACAACAAGTATGCGGACAGTGCCCAACGTTGCATCCAACCGTGGTCTTTCCAACAACAGTTCAAAAAGCTAACTGTTAAGTGTTAAAAATCAACAGGGCAGATCCGACGGCCGTAACGCAAATGTCTCACAACGCTATCTATCGCTCAAAGTAAACGAATGCAAATTGTCATCCTCCAACCGTCTCTTCGTTCCGGACTCCAAATCGGGTTAAAGTTTTTCATCGACATTGGAGCTAACGCATCTGTTATACCTCCAAAAACAATCAATCGACATATCAAAGCTTTAAGTAACCGTACACTATTCGCAGACAATGGAACAGGAATCATATGGTACAGCCCGCCTTACGCTGGATCTCGGTTTGCGCAGGCCTTTCACATGGATTTTACCACAGTTGTAAGGAACCGCAGGGCTCCTCACAAATAGAAGTATTAGTAGATAAGTTTAGTATTAATCGTATTAGTAGATAGGCTTAGTACTAATCGTAGGTTATGATTAGACACGAACACCCACACACGACAGTCAAGCGGAACACCCACCGCTAGCGAGCCAAAGCTCACCTCACACACACACACAAAGCGCGATAACTCACCACCAAAAACTGGCACGCGCCAACTCCAGCCATAGGAGTGAGGGAGAGGACAACAGGATCGTGACGTACACGGGAATTCGCACGCCAGCGAAATCAACCCCCGAAAACTGGCACTCGCCAGGGGCCCGCTCAAGTGCGAGCGAGAGGAAGATAAGATCATGGAAGTTTCGAGAAAACCGGCGCCAAGACAAGAAGCTGGACACAAGCTGGGAGTCAGTGATTTGCGAGTGGGCGATTGATACGGACAAACAAAAGTGAACAGAGACAGCAGTCGTTTTGACGCTGGCCCTGGCGAGTGGCGAAAAATTACCTATCGAGGAGCAACGAGGAGTACAGCAACAACAAGAACAGGACAAACAAGCGGTCTTTTGACGCTGGCCCGGCAGGAGCAGCAGCAGCAGGACGAGGACAAGGACGGTGTTGATCTCCCGGCCCAGGACCAGCGGCGAGGAGATCTGCGCCGCAAGACAAGGAAACACACTCACCCGACGCCAAGTGTGTGTGCAGGAACGAGATGGGTGAGTGAGATGCAAGACCCGCACCGAGTGGCCACGAAAACTTCCAAGCCGGCCATCAACCACGTGTTTTGAAGGTTTTCCGATGTCGATGCGGTGTTACAAGGTTAGGGTAGGTTACAGACGCCCCTAGAATTATGTGTTCAAGTGCTAGATCTAGAAATTAAGCTACGAGAAAATATGTAAGAAACTTGCAAAAGGCAATATTACAGCAGAGATACTAAAACGAGGAATATGAAGAAAACTCTTGAATAAAACCTGAATTGTTGACTTAAAATTTATAATATAATGTTTCATGTCTATTTTTACCCGGGGTCGGACAAGCCGACCGGAAAAAAACCCTCATATTAGGCTGACCACCGAATAAGTCTCGTGTCCGGGGTTGCTTACCACTTGCCGACGCTCCTGCCCCACCAGTGACTGCTGGCGGTACAGTGGGGACTCCGTCAAGCTTGGCCAAAAGAGCACGTGTGGCCCCCTCGGCGAATGCTAAGGGAGATCAGGCGTGCCGGCTAGATCGCAACCAAGGCCACAGCACAAAATGTCGGGCTAGTGCGACATAAAGGAGCCCCTGCAAGAGATATTTTGCCCCTTTCCGGTCACTTGTGGCTTTTGCCACGAGTCAGATCCAATAGGCGTGAAGAGTGACCCGTGGGGCCTTTGTTTACCTTATTGTATCCAAATAAACATTTTTCTTAGTCTTATTGTTCGATTAAATGGGCGGATAACTTCCACCTAGCGTCCGCCTACCAGTTGTCTCCAATCCATGTCCCATCCTTTATAAATTTTTCTGTAAATTGGATTCTGGCCAGACTGACCTTCATCCCAGCCTAAGAAACTACTTTACAGATGGCGCCCGAACAGTGACATGGGGCTTACGAATTTTAGATGTCAAATATATGGCCTAAAAACCCACTTGAACATTTAACTTTGAGAATTTTTGGGTACAAGGAAAAAACAAATTTGTTTTTTTTTTACTTCGGTACGTAAGGAGAGGCATACATATCGAGGGGCCACTAATACTATCAAGAACCTCGAGGGTCAAGCAGGCTCAGCGAGTATAACCAAGAAGACCTGGAAAATTTGAGCAGGTGCAGTCCCGTGATCATACGAACGCGTGACCAGAGAACACGTGACCCATGTATACCTAAGAGGAAAAAACACAGCGGCAGAGATATATAATAGGAAAACCACAAAAACCACGAGGAAAATAAATATATAAGAAAACCAGAGATAGATATATAAGGAAACCGATAAGCCAGAGCGAGATAGACATCGTAGCACGAGTATATAGATATATAGCATAGCAGAAAGAGAGCAGACCGATCCCTCTACCGGTACGCCATTCGAGTCGAGAAACTTAAAGCACGAGTCATAGTGGCTCTCTCATAGTCTCTCCGATACCCGAAGCTGAAAACCGACCAGATCAGCAAAGAAAAAAACCATTGAAAGGAAGAACCAGCTGAAATTCTCATTTAGCCGCCGCCGAGTTTACATCGATCTACGGGAAATCATCGTCCTCTCGAGTTACCACGCAGTTTTCTCCGAGTTTATTCCACTTTGATTTCTCCATAATTATCGTGTCCTCTTTCGTGACCCCGACTAGCTGTCGTCGAGTGACCAGGGAGTCCTTGCAGCGTTTGTTTGGCATTAATTAATTGGTGATTTTTCCCTTTCGTCTCATCGGAAAAACGAGCTTAAGATTATCGAAAGACTTCGGGAATGGGAGACCGAAATTAACGCCGCGATGAGTGAAAAAAAGCAACGAGCCCCGAGTCCGGTACCACCAGGTCCCACGCAGCTTCAAGATCCACCGATCGGAGGCATCAGTACTCCAGAAATAATATGATTGGACGTTGATGCACTACGAGCAGTACAAACAAGTGGCCCAACGACACCAAGCACGTGCTTGTTACGCGCGGGGCCCTTTTATAAATTTGGGCAAAACATACGAGTTCGCGAGGAAGATACAAAAAACAAATAGAGACGGGACACAAATGAAAATAAAGGAAGCATCTAAGAATGAAGAAAATGAGTTAAAATATTAGTTTTTAATACCGGGATAGAAGTTGAAGTGCAAATTAAATGATAAAGGTTGTTATAATTATTACATAGAACGCGAAAGGGCTCGTGCAGACAAAAATTAGATGTACATCTTGGCAAATTTAGGGGATAATAATTTCGTGTTAGTCTAACAGGAACATTCAAAGTTAGGCGGTTTACAAGTTCTATAGAATCAATATCACCTCTTATAAGATTTTGCATAAAAATAGTACCAAGCATTGTTCTACGATTTGCAAGGGTAGGTAAATTAAGCAATAGTAATCTACTCTGATAGGAAGGTAGCCTTATGTTTTGATCCCAGTTCAAACTACGAAGGGCAAAAAGAAGAAATTTTTTTTGTACCGACTCAATACGGTCAATATGCACTTGATATTGTGGACTCCAAACCGAAGAACAATATTCCAAAATAGGACGGACAAGGGAGGTAAATAATAATTTGGTTGTATAAGGGTCATCAAATTCTTTTGACCAACGCTTTATAAACCCAAGAACACTCATGGCCTTGCTGACAGTGGACATTATGTGGCAGTCAAATTTAAGTTTTGGGTCCAGAAGAACGCCTAAGTCATTAACTGAATTTATACGGTCGAGTGGCGTATTTTGAAGAGAGTAACTAACAAAAGTATGAGTACCCCTATGAAAAGTAATAACGTTGCATTTAAGGCAGTTCAAATTTAAAAGGTTATACTCACACCATCCCTGAAAACAATCAATATCTGACTGTAAGTTGAAACCCGACGCTATATCATTATGTGATAAACAAAGCTTAACATCATCAGCATACATTAGTACACGAGAGTGTGTTATGATAGAGGGAAGATCGTTAATAAACAAAGTAAACAGCAAAGGGCCCAAATGACTACCCTGAGGCACTCCAGATGTCACATAGATCAGTTTTGAGGCAGCGTTCTTGAATATAACCCTCTGAGTCCTACCATTCAAATAACTTGAAATCCAGGTTAATAGATTACATGGAAACCCAAGCTGATTTAATTTGAATAAGAGAAGAGAGTGGTTGACAGAGTCAAAGGCCTTACTAAAATCAGTGTATATAACGTAAGTCTGCATTTTATTCTTAAATCCATTTATTACAATAGATGACAATTCCAGAAGGTTGGTGGTGGTCGATCTTCGCTTAACAAAACCATGCTGACACGGTGATATTAGCGAGGAACATAAATGTGGCAAATGAGAAGTAATAATACGTTCAAATGCTTTAGGAATTGCCGACAATTTAGAAATAGAATTTGACCAAGCAGCCGAACTATAAGTAGTTTGGAAAAACTCGGCAAATAAATCAGCAATTTCAGAATCCGTCGATGCCTCCATTAAGTTAAAACGTACCGATGAAGGCAATGCTGACGACATTGGCATTGACAAAGTAATAAAACTGCTTCGGATCATTTGAAAATTCAAATTTACATCGACTTAAATACATAGAATAGCAATGACTATTGAGAACATTAAAATCCGATCGAGCCACCACATATTTCGAAAAATCAGATGGCTTACCCGATTTCTTATACTTTTTATAAGTGTTTGTCTTAAGGTTTTTAAGTCTTTGAAGCGCATTGGTAAACCAAGGTGGCCTGTTTGTCTTTGAAGGAAACCTATCAGGAACGCATTCATTAAAAAAGCTATTTAACACTATATAGAAGTGTTCAGTGGCACTTTCAATATCCATACAATTGTACAATTCTGTCCAATTATATTGAGAAATCATGTCGTTAAGTTTTTTATAGTTACATTTTCGGAAACATCTCACTTTAGTTTGAGAAACTAAAGGAGAGAGGGTATCAACGCATGGGAGGCAGATTGTCAATTCCATTGTTGGATGATATCGGTCTTCAGGTACAACAAGAGCGTCAATTCTAGATACCGTGACTTCAGACGGGTCTGAAACAAACACAAGATCTAGTTGTCTATTTAATGAATTCCGTATAAGGCTTACTTGCTGTAACGATAATTCTAGAAGACCATCAACAAAATCATGGGCGGATAGAGGTATAGCGACTAGTGAGTCAGTAGGAGGAGACCAAGAAATATCAGGGAGATTAAAGAAACCCAAAACAATCAAAAGGTCACTGTTAGAAAGAAGGGATAGAACAGATTTTATCGCAGACAGGTGGTGCTCATAAATTATTAAATCAGAGCCAGGTGGAATATAGGAACATGTAACAAATATAGAGAATGATTGCAAGGAAACTTTCAAACTAACAAATTCAATTTCATTAGGAGTATCAGAGTGAATTCTCTCGGATGTTAGGCTAGTGCTAACGGCAATCAGCACACCGCCTCCCCTACGTGAGGAGCGATCGGTCCTATAGGCATTAAAATTGTTTGACAGAACTTCATTGTCAGATATCTCTGGTTTCAGCCAAGTTTCCGTAAAAGCCAAAATATCAGCAGTAAATGCAGAGGAGTCAGCATAAAGCTTGGGTAGCTTCATATTTAGTCCCCTAACATTTTGATAAGCCAAAAATAAACTTTTTAGTTTTTTGGCGCAGTGGAAGGTCTGTTATTTGTTCTCGGTTTATTGGGAACAAATTCTTTTATTACTAAATCATCATTAAGCCAAAAGCTTTCAGAAAGTAGTACCTTAAACACATCAGGCGGAGCAAATATTTTAAACGACGATATACTACGAGCATATGAAAATCTAAATTTCAGTGGAAACTGAAATATTCTCGGATGGGAATTTTTCACGAATAAATTCCAAAACATCCTCAGATGTGGTATCTGGGGTGAATCTCGAAACAAATAATTGTTTTCTATGTGGAACAACTGATAATTTCTTACGTCCCCCAGCAGCAGATTGCACCTCACTAAGCTGAGAGCCAGAAACGGTAACTTCTGTACCTATAGGTACGGTCGGCACCGTAGCCGGCACTGAAGGTTTTTTTTACCACCCGACTTCGAGAAGCAGTGACTTCACCTAAAACAGCTGTATCCATAGGCGCAGTAGGTTCACTTACCACAGTGTCAACAGAGACTGCTGCAGCCACCAAGTTCGGACTTGGGGTGGATACCGTGACCGTATTAACTGCCGCTAAGCTGGTTTTTTAGGCGACTCAGTTAGTAATTTTTTATTATTAAATTGGGCACAAACGGAGTTAAACCCCTCATTGAGCTGTTTAAATGCACCAGAGATATTCAAAAGG